TTCTTTATTTTGTTCTTCATTTTTTCCTTAGTTCTTGTTTTTCGGCCTTCAATTGGGTACTACAATACATTTTTTTCTTCCTTTTCCATCCTTTTTTTTTCTTATGCTGCTGCTTCGTTTGCTTCTCCTCTCTCCTGTTTTATCTTATTTAGTGTCTGGCCTTTGTTCTTCTCGTAGTGAGTTGCATACAAAAGTTACTTTCAAGGCTGCGCTGCATAAAACGGTTGGTGGCGGCTATGTTTACGTTTTCTAGCGCTGCGGCATAGCATTTCCCAGGCGCGCCGCCGCCTTATCAGCAACATCTCAACAACTACAGTACCCCCGGCATCCACAACTTTGTGACCAACGTCTGCGGGGGAGCGGTGTTTTCAAAATACATGTACTGTAAGCGCGCTTTTCTCATCGCTGTAATGCTTTTAACGCGTCTTTATCTCTCTTCAGAGGAATTCGCGCATTACAGCGCCGCACTTCGCATTTTTGCGCAAGCATTTTTTTCTCGTGCACGTAGCACATAGTATAAAGCCACGGCCCGTCACCCTGGAGCACCCTTACTTGCTTCTCATGCCGATCACACGCAGTCTTGCGAAATCTTCGTCTTCTCTTCTCGGGTCCTCGACCCAGCTTACTGATACTAAGCCCTCGAAGAAGGATCCCGACTTGTCTTCATCTCTACCCAGCTTCGAGGATCTTCAGGACGACTCACCCTCTAGCGGTCGCGATGTCAAGGCTTTGCGTGACGCTACTTGCTCGGTCATTTCCCAGGTATGGAACGATACTCGAGCCACTGCAGCGTTGCTGTCTCGCAAAATTAATGACGGTAACACGGCTCTCACCGAACGCCTCAATGAGTCGTTTGCTGCGGTAGGTCGTCGTCTGGATTGCTCTCCCCGTGGTGGCCATGTTTCAGCCAGACCTCTCGGGTTCGCGTATTGTCCCTTTCTCGGGTTCCACCGAAGACGGGATCCAGTTTTCGGTATGGCTACGACGCCTCGAAGACATTATGCGCATGCGTCCAGTCCAACTCTCCGAGGAGCAACAGGCCTACTTTCTGATCGGACACCTGGAAGGGGTGGCACGCGAGAAGGTTGAGGAACTTGATAGTGAGGCGCGCAAATCTTTCGCTACAGTCGTGGCCCACTTACGCTCCTTCTTTGAAAGCCCCCAGCAACGGTACGTGGCCCGCCAGAAGTTGTCCAGCTGCCGTCAGGAATCGGGCGAGTCATGCACGGCCTTTGCCAATCGGGTTCTGAATTTGGTGCGAGCCGCAACATCCGGTCAAGACTCCGTTACTCAGAAGGAGAGGGTCGAGGAGTTTGTGGCCCGGTTACGGGGGGACATTCGTTACTTCGTCAAGTTGGAAAATCCTACATCGTTCGAGCAGGCCGTCACCAAGGCCCAGAGGGTTGAACAGCTACTCAACGAAGCCACCGCCGAACGTCTCCTTCACCCTACAACTTCTCCGGTGGCGGTTCAAGTCGTGTCCCGGCCCGGTCAGGGTCGCGGCAGGAGTGCTCCTTCTACGGGCCCTCCTCGGCCACCCTCTCCGATCACGCACCCCGACACCTTTCTTCTCGAGTAGTCAGTACCAGCGGACACCCAGTGCGCCTAATAGAAGCGTGGTATATCGGTGCTTCAACTGTGACGGCGTCGGGCATTTCTCTTCGGTTTGCCCATCTCCCCGCACTCCATCCGCGGGTCGCTCTCAGGGCTTTTCACCGCCCCAGCCACCCCGCAGGGTAATGCCTCCGCACCGGCTCCCGGGGGCTAACTCGCTGACATGGGACTTAAGCCCCTCGTCCGAGCATCATACGATGCGCCCGGCCGCCGAACCTGCTTCCACCGTAGCCCAGCTTACAGCGTCTTTGAAAGATTCTGAACGTCAGTTACGTAACTCTCAGGCACGCATCCAGGCGCTTCTCCAGAGAAATGACGAGCTGGCGCAGGCGTCCCTTGAGCATCCGTTTGCACCACCTCGCACTTCTTCTTCTTCACTTCCTGATACCCGTCTTTTGCTTTGCGCGGTCATCTCGCTGTGTGTTACTCGTCAGCCCATGCTCCGCCATCGGAGCATGGTTGTGTCCGCCCGATCAACCGGCTACCTTTTTTCTACCGCAGCGTCTCCAGAATTGTTCTGGCTTTTTGCCTAACAGTACAGTTTCAGTTACTAATTTGTCTTTACATCTGTACCGTCCCAATACCAAACTCTATTCTACACCGGTATTTCTGTGCAAAATCATTAAACACTCGGTGGTCTATTCCGTTAACTTTTTTGGTGCCCGCAAAGAAACTCATACAGAGACGAGTTTGGCGTTTCAGAAGGAAGAGTGCAAGCAGATGATGTTGCACCATCGCTGCGTTCCACGGCGATTTGGATGAGACGTCGGGACTGTGGCGCACACGCCACGTCCTGGACTTCTCTTTTCCCTCGGCTCCCTTCGGTTGTTGCACGTCACATAGCGCAGAGGTTATCAACTGCTATATGTACCCCACTACCGTCCATGTGCGACACACGGACGACGCTCCGCAGGCCCCAGTGGGCGACATGTCGGCGTGCACTTACAAGGACGGTACCTGTACCCTCGCTGATGGGTCATTGCTTCTGTGGACACCAGACGTTGAGGAGGAATGCGCTTACATCTTCGTTTCTCGTTTCTCTGGACAGCGACTTGGTCATATATGGCTCAGTGACGACAGGGAGTTCGCCCTGTCATGGTCCGATACGTCCCCCGTTCTTGACGATTGTGCTAAGCAGCTTACCATTACAGACCAAGGGTATGCCATCCGGGCCCTTCGCCGCCTGCCGCGCCATCTTGCTAGCGAGGTTGGACTGGTTACTTCTAACCAGCTCTCGGCCCAGCTACTAGCCGTTGAAGGGGCCACTTATTCCTCAGTTAGTGCCCTCTACCAGCACGCCTTGCGGGTGCTTTGCGATCGCACTAATCTTCTCGCCACCACTCTTCATACGTCCCTTCGCACTGATCCTACACTTACTATGCGCACCCTACTCCACAGAGAAGACATTTCCGCAGCGTATCTAAGCGAGGGTTACGTTCAGGTATCGCGTTGTATAGCGTTATCCGAGGTGCAGCTTGTTCCTTTTAACACCACATGCTA